GTTGCCACATTGTTATTGGAGCTTAGTCGGTAAGCAGTGAGAACTATATCCATGTGCGCACGCAAGAGCGTCAGCTACTGCTGGTAACTTGAAGGTTGGATGTAAAAATTTTTACCTTAAGGTAAATATTGTCTGCTCCTTATGTTGTCAGTTGTTTATCCACGCGCTTACTGTCTTTCTCACTCTCATGTTGGACAAAAACATCTTTAAATTTTTATAATTAAGTAATGTTACCTCGAATGAAAGTTAAATACCATTTCAGTTGGGATTTTGTCCACTCTACACGATAGTATTTTTGCAAAAATAGTCGAGCTCTCGGTCAAAAATATTGTTGTTAGGTATGTCTTGCTTATGTTCCCGGGTATGTCGTCTGTACACGATTTAGAACGAGTCCATTCATAAATTGCAATAATCAAGTACCCGCCAAGTGCCCGGGAAGTACCCGCCAAGTGCCCGGGAAGTACCCGCCAAGTACCCGAGGAAGTGCCCAGGAAGTACCCACCAAGTACCCGGAAAGTACCCGGCAAGTGCCCAGAAGTACCCGGCAAGTGCCCGCCAAGTACCCGGGAAGTACCTGCCAAGTACCCGAGGAAGTGCCCGAGGAAGTGCCCGGGAAGTACCCGGCAAGTGCCAGTCAAGTACCCGGGAAGTACCCGACTGTATTGTACTAGGCGGGGACTTGGCGGGCACTTGGCGGGTACTTCCTGGGTACTTGGCGGGTACTTCCCGGGCACTTGGCAGGTACTTCCTGGGCACTTGGCGGGTACTTTCCGGGCAATTCCTCGGGTACTTCCTCGGGTACTTCCCGGGCACTTGGCGGGTACTTCCCGGGCACTTCCTCGGGTACTTTCCGGGCACTTGGCGGGTACTTGATTATTGCAATTTATGAATGGACTCGTTCTAAATCGTGTACAGACGACATACCCGGGAACATAAGCAAGACATACCTAACAACAATATTTTTGACCGAGAGCTCGACTATTTTTGCAAAAATACTATCGTGTAGAGTGGACAAAATCCCAACTGAAATGATATTTTACTTTCATTCGAGGTAACATTACTTAAGTATAAAAATTTAAAGATGTTTTTGTCCAACATAAGAGTGAGAAAGACAGGTAGCGCGTAGATAAACAACTGACAACATAAGGAGCAGACAATATTTACCTTAAGGTAAANTTGATTTTTGAGAGATACATTTGATTTAGACAAAACTTGATAGTGGAAGATAACACGATTTACTTTCTAAATTGAAAAAGATTTAACCTTGAAAACCTTTGTTTTCATTGAAGATTAACTAAGTACTACGTTCAGTAATTATCCATGATCAGAATTGTTCGTCATTCTTAACAAAGTCTATGTTGGAATAAGTTATTACTTTTTTAACTTCGAGACTTAAAATTCTGTACATGTGGTTTCGCTCTCTTCAATAAAGTAGTATGACATGCCAGTGAATATTCCTTCAGCGTTTATCACTCATAGGTTTTTTCAAAAGTATTATTTAAACATCCAACGTTCAATATATAAATGTTCAAAACAGCATAAGAAATACCCACAAAAATGTTTAGCTCATTTTACTGTGTTCTGTTTTTTATATGCTTTTTTAAACAAATCTCAATATTACATGCATTTTTTATTTGTATGGCAAACAGGACAAAAATTTATTAATCGCACATTGCCATCTTGCGACTTTAGCTTACATTGAAGATTGACTTAGTACACTGAAAAACAAAAATTATAGAACATAAATCGATATTGTAAGACAATGAACAGATAACTAATCTATCAATTTTAACCGCAAACTTGTTACTTTCGTATAAGTAGTCATTCAGCAAATAACGCCATCTCACAACCTTCGATCCTTCAGAGACTCTTTTGAATCAGAAAAAAATTTAAAATGGACGACTATACGATTTGCTCGTCAAATAAAAAATGATTATAAATGATATATGAAATTTCGATAAGAAAATCATTTAAAATATTGTAGGGCGAGAGAGAAAAGAACAAAAATCTATTATTTGCAAACTTCCATCTTGC